GAAGGTGCACATTTTCTGCTGACCTCTTTGGCAAGTAACCAGGATCATTTTGCTTGTTTACAAACTGCTGGACAACTGTGGCGAATGTTTTCTCATCGGAGAAATCCAAATTCGGCAGTTCACCCACCACCACTTTGTTGTGGTGTAAGTTCTTGCACTTTTTGCAATTTCAATGGCTTTACACCGAACTCATTTTTCAATGGAGTACTGCGATATGTTCTGCTCATGAGCCATTTTTCGGCCACTGTGACGCGACATGTGTTTCGATCAAGTCGCTTCTTTACTTTTCGAACCATTTCTGCTTATGTTGCTGTTTTCTTCCGTCCACTTCCTTGAGGTCCGGGGCTACGCTACCAGTATCAGGGTAACGAGCGATGGTACGAGACAAAAAAAATTTTATCCACATTAAAATGCTGGAGTGCTCTAACGATAGCCACCTGTGGGTTTCCAGCCAAATATAAAGAAATCACACTATCGCGCTAGAATTCCATCACGACTAACTTGTTGGAACTTCTGGAAAATTATCACCAAAATGCTTTTGTACGCTTGTAAACCATGTAATGAGCTGTCACTGGAATAATTTTAACAGCTATCGGATGAGTGGCTTAGAAATGACAGCAGTCTGAATTTGGTTGTAGTTTTTCATCTTACCCTTTGTACACACATATATTTATTATTATTATACTTTTCCTCTTTTTTATTTATTTATTTATTATTTTTTTTTTAAATATTTTTAGACAAAAGTTATTGTTTTTGATATTTTTAAAAGCATTATTTTTATAATTTAAAAAATTTTTATTTATATATTTTTCAAAACAAAAGTTTTAATATTTTTTTATTTATATTTTCTTTAATTACCACCAATTGACAATTTGTTGAAAATAAAAGAAGAAAGTTCTTAAAACCTCATTAACATTCGCATGAATTTCTTCCCCTTTTTTCCCCTCCATCACCAAATCCTCACTTTCATGCCCTTGAGCCTTGAGGCCTCATACGCCTTTGGATTTGTTTGTGTATTTCACTTTTGTTCCGCATAAATCTGTATAAATGACAGATATAATCGCCTTAAATAAATCCACTTAAAATTGAACGGCTGATTCTCTCCTGTGTGTGGGGGAATTTTTTCTCAAATTGCAATGTCACGAAAACGTGGGCGGGATAAACGAAAACAAATAATAAAGAAGAAGACACATACACACACACACACTCAAAAGTTAAGACGGCTAATAAGCGATAGATAAAAGGTTAAGTGTTGTCAAGTTGTCTCTAGAGAGAAAGAGAGAGATAGGGGGAGAGAGAAAGTGAATGTACCCTTTCATTTAAGGGGAAATAATTATAGAATAACATCACTCAAAAGTATAATCCTAAAAAATAACCTCTTCTTAAAAAATGTACTTAAAATAAATAATAAGTACAAGATATTTGAAAATACATTTTGGTTGGAAAATGGACAAAAATTCTTAATTCTTTCCTTTCTTAAAAATTATGTAAAAAATATGTAATTTTTAGTTCCCAACTAATTTTTCTAAGAAATAGCACATAGAAGCTGTTGTAAGTCACTTAAAATTCATTTTATAAAAATATTTCTTAAGAGCTACTTATGATAATATGACATAACCTAACTTAGCCTAAAATATAAAAGAGAGAAAGGGAGAGATACCTAATGTATAGAAATGAGAAGGGAATCCAATCTCGCTCTTTGGTTGTCAATTCAATTCTAGTTTTTATTGAAAAATATGTTCCTTAAGTACTACTAAAACTAATCTAACTTAACCTAATCGCTTAACCTAATATTGAATGGAGAATATTGCATGAGCTGCTTGTCCTCTCATTCAGGTGGTCTTGCATACCTACTTAAGGCATCGATATCTCAGTGTATGTGGATCATAACCTTTATTATCTTACACATTATTGTAAACATGCTATATTTTTTGCCAGCTGAATAATTGAAAATTTTGGAATATTTTTAATTGTTGTATTTTCCCTTATGCTCCAGCATAAAAGGTCAGCGAATTGTACAGATGTGCCTCTGATTTGGCGCGGATAATCTCCAAGTATGGTATTCACAATGTATTCTGCTATAACTGCTGTTGGCGCATCAGAGTGAATACCCTTCAGTCCCGCTTGATAGGCCTTTTGAGTGACCTCTAGCGATTCTCTCTTATATCTCTATACCTCTCTCTCTCTCTCTCTCTAGATGAGAAGGTCTTTCCTTTCACTCTGGGCGGAGGTTGCTTACCCATCTGATGGTTATTGGGATGGTTGTGTAGATGTCAAAGGGTGTCACAAGGAGGCAACCTCTTGCTGTTCTTACGGTGGTAACCATCCAATGACTTATGCCCCCCAAAAAAAACGTTTTATCTATTCTCACTTTAAGTGATAATATAACTTATTTCCAGTTATATTACCATACCTTTGGCTTCTACAATTTTAGCTTAGACCTAGTGAATTTTGTGTTCTGCAAAAACTTTTTTGATAACTAATTCTTCATTCTTCTACATTCATCTATTGCATTTTTCTAATCAACGGGATAAAACCATTAAATTGCTCGGCTCAATCCTGTTGGCTTTTTTGAAGAGATGTCTTTGCAACCTTGATCCTCTTAAACTCGCATTGTTCCGAATTCTTCGAATCAAAGGGTTGAGACCCAACTCTCTTGGCTTTCTTGGAGAGATATTTTTGCAAACCTGCTTCTCTTACCTTTGTCGCTTCTTCATCGCATTGTTCCTAATTTTTTCGAATCAAAGGCGTAATACCAATTAAACTTAATGGAAGAACTATCTTAGCCCTCTTCAAGAAATTTCTTGGCAACCCTGCACCTCTTACCCTTTCACATCACATCACATTCGCATTCTTTGAATCAAAGGGTTAGGACCAATAAAATTTTATGGAGCTAGTCTCTTGGGCTTCTTGAAGAGATGACTTTTCAGTTCTGAACCTCGTATCTTCTCTTGCTTTCTCATGGTTTTTTTTTCCCGCATTCTTCGAATCAAAGGGGTAATACCAATTAATTTTGACCCAACTATCTTATCCTTTTGAAGAGATCTCTTTGCAACCCTGCTTCTCTTGTCCTCATTTGCTTCTACGTCGCATTGTTCGAATCAAAATTATAACACCAATTAAATTTCACGACCCAACTTATCTACTGGCTTTCTTGAAGAGATATCTTTGGAAACCTTCCTCTGTCTCTTCTTCATTGTATTGTTCGAATAAAAAGGGTAAGACCTATCAAATTCACGGCCCACTTCTCTTTCACTTCTTTATCGCATTGTTCGAATCAAAATTATAACACTAATCACATTTCACGACCCAACTATACTGGCTATCTTGAAGAGATGTCTTTGCAGCCCTGATCCTCTTGTCTTGTTTCAATTCTTCATTGCATCGTTCAGCAATCTTCGCATTAAATCGAATCTTAGTCTTCTTGAAGAGATGTGTTTGCTCTTATCATCTGCCATTTCTTCATCGCATTTTTTGCATTCTTCGAATCAAAAGGGGGTAATACCATTTCACAGCGGAACTATCTTAGCCTTCTTGAAGAGATATGTTTGCAACCTGTTCCTCTTCTCCTTTGTCGCTTCTTTATCGAATCGCTCCGCATTTTTCGAATTAAAGACTTAAATGAAGAGATGTCTTTGCAAACCTCATCCTCTTATCCTCTGCCTCTTCTTTTGCCAATCAAATTTTATGGAACAACTATCTTAGCCTCTTGATGAGATGTCCTGCTCCTTGTAACCTCTGTCTCTTCTTCACAAAATTGTTCCCCATTATCCGAATCAAAGACGTAAGACCAATCAAATTGTATGGAACAAGTCTCTTGAGCTTCTTGAAGAAATGAAAATGTCTGCTCCTCTCGTCCTCTTTTGTTTCTACATTAAATTCTTCCGTATTCTTCGAATCAAAGGAGTAGGACCAATCAAATTTTTCCGCACAAACTTATTGACCTTCGTCTAGAGATGTCTTTGCAACCCTACTCCTCTTTCCCTCTGTCGGTTCTTTATAGCATTGTTTCGCCTTCTTTGAATCAAAGGGGTGAGACTAATCTCTTGGGCTTCTTGAAGATATGTCTTTGCAACCCTGCTCCGCTTATCCTCTTTTGCTGCTACATCTCATTATTCTGCATTTTTCGAATCAAAGGGATAATACCAATCAAATTGCAGGAAACACCTATCTTAGCCTTCTTGAAGATATGTATTTTCTTCATCATATTGTTCCGAATTCCTCGCATCAAAGTTTTGAGACCATTCAAATTGTATAGATCAAGTATCTTGGGCTCCTTGAAGAGATGTCTTTGCAACACTGATCATCTTATCTTCTTTCGGTCCTTCACGGCATTTTTGTGCATTCTTCGAATCAAAGTGGTAAGACCAATTTGAATGAATTGTTCCGCTTTTTTCGAATCAAAAGAGTAAGACCAATCAAATTTTACGGAACAAGCATTTAGGATTTTCTCAAGAAGTACATCTGGGATTCAAAACTTTTTACTTCTACTTTTCAGCTAAAGAGCCACACGTCAGAGAGTTGTTCGCGTTGAAAAATGTTCAAAAATTCCCGCTCTTAAAATGCTGTATGACGAGTGAAATGATTTCTTTATATTTAAATCTAGAACGAGAAAAGTGGAGCGGATCGCCTACCATGTCACCTGGGAGCACCGACAGACATGTGCCAACTCGTGCCTCCCAAAAAAATTAAAAAATTTCAAAATAATTTTCGAATATCTTTCGGAATTTATGCCCGAACATATGTCACGAATCATCTACATATTAAATTGCCGGTAACCATTAACATCATTGACACCCTGGTCACCAGACACTGACATAAAATCACCATTTATTTTCTGAAGATGGCACTAAGGACCGCACTTGTAACCTGAACACTTGTTAGCCAAAGCAAAAAAAAAATATCTTCCTTCATTATTTCTAATATTTATGTAATTTACTGGCAGTTTTTTCCTAACTCTCCTTCTTATTTTTTTTCCTCCAAACATTTATTACAGATGACAGCATTATCATCAACATCAAGAGGAGCTGGAACAAATATTCTTCTTGAGTCTACTACGAATTTTCGGGTATAAGAATGTGAGTGTGTGATAAAGAAAAGGGAAATTAATTAAGCTCCGCACACACACACAACGAAAGAATTATACTCCAGACAGGCACATATACAGAACGAGTCATATTCATAGGCATAAAAAAGGGAAACCCAGTTTCTTCACCAGGCACAACCAGCAACATCTCGGGCATCCTTTTTTCCCAGCTCTTTAATCTAACATCATCAAAAAACCGAGATCCAAACGAAAACATGTTCTCCCCCAACTTTACGACGGTCATCAACTTGATTATGTTTCCAGCTGGAACAGTAAACGCCTCCAGTTAAGTTCCCGAAACCGTTACCGCCTTGCAACTGTAGACATTTTTGCCAAGCAAATAACCCACATAGGCAGCCAATCCACCATTCCGCTTCAGTGGAAACCCGACAAACGACATTCATCTTCATCATCAACATGTACGGCCTTCTGCTCGAAAATCTCTCGGAATATATTAAATCAGTGTATGGCGAAGAAAAATGGGAGGATATACGACGACAGGCTGGGGTGGATTCGCCATCGTTTAGCGTTCATCAGGTTTATCCTGAGAATTTATTAAACAAATTGGCCAAGAAGGCACAAACGGTAAGTCGTCACTGGCAAAGGCAAAGGGGAGGAGGCTGGGGGTTTAAGTAAATTATCGTTTAAATTTCCATTTTCAAAAACAAAATTTAATTTGTTTTCAATTTCGGGTCGAGAGTTCGGAGTTGAGAGAAAGGGTTACAGTACAAAAGGACTTGTGGTGGATAACCGTCGACATCTTTTGTAAAACAAATCAAATAAATTGTTAAATCCATTGCCTCGCAGTGAAGCCTTCCATCCAAACCGAACATGTCGGACACATCGCTGAGTACAATTTTGTGCGAAAAAAAATCGATTTGAAACCAATCACAAGATCTGCAAAGAAATTTACAGCCTCTTCCACGATATCGAAAGAAAATTTTTGCTAGTCACTCACTTTCGTATCAGAATGCGTTCGACTAACATTCGTTCGATTTTTCGCATAGCCTTACGTCACTCAGTGTTGCAAAATATACCTTTGAAAAATGAATCGCGAAATTAAACAAGAAAAGCACCAAAATGACAGATTTAAACCCGAAAAAGCTGAAAAAAAAATACAACCATACGTCAGCTGGCTCTGTCCGAACTGACAGCTCAGTTCTAAGCAAACAAATTGTAAATAAATTTATTTCTGTTGCTCTATATTTTATGGATATGGTGTGAAGTAGCCTGCTGCTTCCAAATATTGGCACTCCTCTGGCGAACTCAGGATTCTCCTCCATACAATCAACTAGTGCCCGTAGCTGTGTAGTAGATGATTTTTTCGTACTGGAATTGAGGAAAATAGAAATTATATTTGTTGTTGACATATTATAATTGTATTTATTATTATAGCCTCAGCCATATGGCTGGAGAGGGTATATAACATTTGATACGGCCAAAACGAGCCACATCAGGACCTATGTCCGTTCGCCTTTCAGGCTGGCTGGTGCGCCCGATAACTCTCGAAGGGAGTATTCGATTTGATCCAGACTTGGTACATCGTAATATTAGTGTCAAACTTAGATCAAGTTCGGACATGGGCAATATCGGTGCACTCCTTCTGGGACCTCCCACACAAATGGTCGAAATTTTAAAAAAAATATATTTCCTGCACAGAAAGAGAAACGATAATCCGATTTTGCTCGAACTTTGCAAATCCTAATATTTGCATCAGTGCTAGGTCAGGGGCGAAAATAGAAAATATCGGTCCACCCCATGATATAGCTCCCCCACAAAGGGTCAAAATTTTTAATAATTACAACTCTTATAAAAAGTGGTTTGTAAGAGTCCGATTGTCTTCAAATTACACAAATCCTAATATTTGTATAAACCCAAGTTCTGGTGTGAAAATGGAATATATAGGTCCACTCCTTCTGGTACCTCCCCCACAAAATGTCAAAATTTTCAAAGAAAACAATTTACTGCACAGAAAGAGAAAAAATAATCCAATTTTGCTCCAACTTTGCAAATCCTAATATTTGCATCAGTGCTAGGTCAGGTGGGAAAATGGACAAAAATGGTCCACTCCATCATGTACCTCCCCCACAAAGGGTCAAAATTTTGAATAATTTTAGCTCTTGTAAAATGTGATGTAAGAATCCGATTGTCTTCAAATTACACACATCACAATATTTTGATTAATCCAAGATCTGGTGTGAAGATAGGATATATCGGTCCACACCTTCTGGTACCTCGCCTACAAAGGGTCAAAATTTTGAATATTCATGAAGCTCATAAAACTCGAAATTAACATCGGATTCCATTTCGACTTGGCACAAATCAATATTTTCATCAACACAAGATCTCTTATAAAGATGGTAGAGATTGGACAATTCCTTCTGGTACCTCCCACACAAAGGGTCGAAGTTTTGAATAACCAAAACGATCATAAAATCCGAAATAAGCATCCGATTCTCTTCAAATTACACACATCTCAATATTTTTATTAACTCAAGGTCTGATGTGAAAATGGGATATATCGGCCCCCTCCATCTGGTACCTCCCCCACAAAGGGTCAATATTTTGAATATCCATGAAGCTCATAAAACGCAAAATTAACATCTGATTCCACATCTCAGTATTTCCATCAACACAAGATCTCTTATAAAGATGGTAGAGATCGGACTATTCCTTCTAGTACCTCCCCTACATAGGGTTCAAGAGGTTTCTGCTTGAGAGAAATAATTAGATATAGAAAGTTGTAAAAAAATCGCTGACTTTTTTTGTCGCAAGTTATGACAGATAAAAGTTTTGATCCTTTGTGGGTGAGGTACCATAAAGGGGTTCGCAGATATATATATCATCTTCAAAATAAATATTTTGTTAGCAAACTTGTTTGTATGTGTGGCATTTGAAGAGATTTGGATGCTTATTACGCTTTCTTCGGGCGTTTGGTTTCTCAAAACCTTGAACTCTATGTGGGGAAGAAATATTCCGATCCCCCCCATCTTTCTAACAGATCTTGTGTCGATGGAAACATTGAGATGTACCATGTCTGACTGGAATCGTATGTTAATTTCGCGTTCTATGAGCGAAACTTAAAATATATTCCAAGCCTCAAAGAAAAACTGTCGAGGATCACTTCGATTTTTTATAATGTACCCCGTAAGGTCTCGAAACTTTTATAACTTTAAATGCAAATATGTTAAATTATACGACTCCTCTCTTTCCAGGTCCTTCCGAAACTTTTATAACTTTAAATGCAAATATGTTAAATTGTGTAACTTCCCTCTTTTCAGGTCCTTGGCGTCTCCGAACGTGAATTCATGGATCAAATGGGCGTCTATTTCGTCGGCTTCGTCGGGCAATATGGCTATGATCGTGTGCTCTCTGTGCTCGGCCGTCATATGCGTGATTTTCTCAATGGCCTTGATAATTTACATGAATATTTGAAATTCTCCTATCCACGAATGCGAGCACCCTCTTTCATTTGTGAAAATGAAACGAAACAAGGTCTCACCCTGCACTATCGTTCGAAACGACGTGGTTTCGTCTACTACACCATGGGTCAGATACGTGAAGTTGCCCGTTATTTCTATCACAAAGAGATGCATATTGAGTTGGTGCGTGAGGAGATACTTTTCGATACCGTACATGTCACCTTCCAGCTGACATTTGATAATCGAGCTTTTACCCTGGCCTCGCTGGCCATGACACGCGAGGAGAAACATTTGCCAATTAGTGCCCATGTGCTATTTGAGATATTTCCATTTTGTATTGTTTTCGGGTAAGTAAGGAGCAAGGGGAGGTAGTGCGATGGTGACAGAACAGCAAGTCCTTGAATTACAAGTACCTGCCTGTAACAAGTGGCTGTCAACGACAATTACTGTTCAAACCACAGACCACCACCTGTCCTCATTGCTGATTACTCCAATGGCATTTATTTCCTTTAATGGTCTTACTTTCTCTTTTTTCTTCCTCTTTTTCTTTATCCTGTTGCTTTCTTTTCATCCTTGGTTTGTGGTTTGTTGGCTCTTTAGTGCCGACATGGTTGTACGCAGCATTGGAAATTCCTTGATGGTCATATTGCCAGATTTGCTGGGCAAAAAAATCACAGCATGGTTCGATTTAGTACGTCCATTGATTGCCTTTAAATTTCAAACGGTAAGTAGTACAATGCTTGGAGGGAGTGTGGAGATTTTAGTGGAGAATATGTCACACTGTAAGGCTGTCGGAAATTCCGACTGATACTAGCAGATGACTTTTCCAGAAAAAAAAATTCTCTAAAACTTTAAAATAAAAATCCCAATAACAAAAAATACGAAATCCTCCTGTGGAAACAGCGCATAAACGTAGAACCCATTAAATACGAAACGCACTTCCACATTCAATGCTGGCGGTGCGGCGACCCTCATTATCCATTTGTGCACTTAAAATGGCTGGAGTGCAGTTTAACAACCACTTTAACCTAACCTCACAATTATCGTTAATTTTTATGCATTTCTTTTTTTTCTTCTCTTCATCCTTTTTTTATTTCACTTTACTTCGGATTTAATGGCACTTAGATTTTAAATCGCACAAATAATATCTTCGAATTGGTAACAGTTGAGCCAGTAACCGACCGTCCCGAAAATCAAAAATCCAATGAAATGCTATTGCATGAAGATGGCTCCGAGCCGGAGAAATCGTTGCGGCTGAAGGGTAAGTGAGAAAAAAAGGAAAATATTTGTAATAAACCTCTTCGGAATCCTGAAAATGACTTTGAGGGCTCTTTAATTTGTAAAAAAAATAATTTAATATATTTTTTTTCCACAGGCCAAATGGTTTACATGGACAATTGGCGCATGATTATGTTTCTGGGTACGCCGGTAATGCCTGATTTAAATGCCCTGATAACAACGGGCCTCTATATCAATGATTTGTCCATGCATGATTTCAGCAGGTATGGCAAATAAAGACATGAGGACATTCATCTCACCTACACCTCTTAAATATCTCTCCTTAATTTTTTGTCCTATTCCTTTGCAGAGATCTCATGTTGGCAGGTACCCAACAATCGGTTGAATTGAAATTGGCCTTGGATCAGGAACAACAGAAATCAAAGAAGTTGGAAGAATCAATGCGTAAGCTCGATGAAGAAATGCGTCGCACGGACGAGTTGCTGTATCAGATGATACCGAAACAGGTGGCAGATCGGCTAAGGCGTGGCGAGAACCCCATCGATACGTGTGAGGTAAAAAAATATTAAATAAATTAAAATAAAGCACCGACCACCTTAAAAAATTATTAAATTTTATAAACATCGAAAAAGAACAACAGCCTAACGTCTTTAACCAAATATAGTGCCGTGAAAAAAACGAATGAGTGTAGTTCGGGCTAGTGTAGTGTAGCCCGAAGGTTGCTGTAGATGCCAATGATGGCTTTAAAGATAGGTTGCACATATTGAACGTCAAGGTTCAACGAGACTTAAAATTAAGCGATGATGTGAATGAGAAGTATACATGAAGTGTCCTACAAAATCAAGTGAAGGAATTCAGCTCCGAATTGGTGGCTGCTAAGGAAAAAGCGCAAGCACTAAGGGTGAAAATACATAAATCGCATATTTGGCTGGCTTAAGTCATCGACTGGCTTCTTCGTAGATCAACAAAGGAGTTTTAGGCTGACTTAGTTCGATTTTGGCCCTAGGCTCCGTTTCCGAAGAAGCCAGTCGATGACTTAAGCCAGCCAGATAAGCGCTTTATGTATTCCCACCTTAAGTCATCGACTGGCTTCTTCCTAGATCAACAAAGGAGTTTTAGGCTGACTTAGTTGGCCCTAGACACCTTAGTTTATTTTCGAAGAAGCCAGTCGATGACTTAAGCCAGCCAGATAAGCGCATTATGTATTCCCACCTTAAGTACTCAGGCAAACCCCGGTGTAAAATCTTTGCAGCAGAAAGTGAAACAACTTTCGGAAGGTTTGGCTTATTCGGTGGAGGCCCGGTGGAAAGCAGCTGAAACAGAAAGTGATGATGACCAGCAAATACGAAAGATTTGGATTACAAGACCCCATTACTGAAGTTCAAGTACTTGAGGAGGAACAAGTAAAAAAGATGTAAGTTCGGCGGGGCCGGACTTTGAATACCCTCGACCATTTGGAACGAATTTTGCATTTTTCAAAAAAAAAATAAAATCCGCTAAAAATTCTGCTAAAATCTTAAAAATACCGAATGTAGCCATTAAATTCGGGTCAAAACGACGACGTGGGTCTGCATAGGCAACTTTTGTCATAAGCCATTTCAGTATTCAAATGCGATACTTGAAAAAAAAATCGGTAAATAATGTAGCTAAAATCATCAATACAGGGAGATTCCGTTATATGGAGGCTATACGAAGACGTGGACATGCACAGACAATTTTCTGTCTTAGGCTGCAGTATCCATTACGAACTTCAAATACCAAATTTGACACAATTCCGGCGAATAATGTCGCTAAGATCCTCAAAATACCAAATATCGGAAGGTACAATCTCCTGTTATAGGCTGTAGTATCCACTACGAACTTCAAATATCAAATTTGAAATAATTCCGATGAATAATGTCGCTAAAATCATCAAAATACCGAATATCGAGAGGTACCGTTATATGGGGGCTATACGAAAACGTGGACCTGCACAGATAATTTTCTGTCTTAAACTGTAGTACCCATTACGAACTTCAAATACCAAATATGACACAATTCCGGCAAATAATCTCGCTAAAATCATCAAAATACCAAATATCGGAAGGTACAATCTCATGTCATAGGCTGCAGTATCCATTACGAACTTCAAATACCAAATTTGAAATAATTCCGATGAATAATACCGCTAAGATCATCAAAATACCGAATATAGGGAGGTAACGCTATATGGAGGCTATAGGAAGACGTGGACCTGCACAGACAATTTTCTGTCATAGGCTGTAGTATCCCTTACGAGCTTCAAATACCAAATTTGAAACAATTCCGGTAAATAATGTGGCTAAAATCATCAAAATACCGAATATCGGGAGTTACCGTTTTATGGTTGCTATAGGAAGACGTGGACCTTCACAGACAATTTTCTGTCTTAGGCTGTGGTATCCGTTTCGAACTTCAATTTTAAATTTTAAATAATTCCAATGAATAATATCGCTAAAATCACCGAAATACCGAATAGCGGGAGGTACCGTTATATGAAGTCGTGGACCTGCACAGACAATTTTCTGCCTTAGGCTGTAGTATCCATTTCGAACTTCAAATAACAAATTTAAACCAATTCCGGTAAATAGTGTCGCTAAAATCATCAAAATACCGAATATCGGGAGTAACCATAATATATGGGTCTATACCAAAACGTAGACCTACATGACCCATTTTCAATACCAAGAGCCCGGCAGACATAATATACATTTGAGTAAAATAGTATAAATCTACTTCATTTCGTTCGGAAGCTATAGTGATTTCAACAGACGGATAGACGGACGAACCTCGCTAAATCGACATAGAATTTTATGCTGATCAAGAATATATGTATATACATACTTTGTGGGGTCCATACTATGGTGGAGGGTTTAAAAATAATTAAATCCTGGAGACATAAATGGGTAGGTATCAACCACTGCAGAATCCAATTGAAAAAATACAGAAGTCAGCAATACAGATAAAGAATCAGCCAGCGATAAGAAGACGAAGAAGTATGACCGTGTGCATCGCTGGAGTAATAAGATAATTAAGCAAGCACAAGTTATCAGGAAGATGAGATGCCTTGTGGAAATGGAGCAGCTGGAGTGACAAGAAATTATGAACGCTTGCAACGCTGGAGCGAAAAGCTGTCCAAGGTCTGTAAGATGGCGCTGCCAGAGAAATATCACACCATTGGCTTAAGTAGGAAGACGATACATGGCTTCCATAAATGGAAGCCGGCAGACAGGGAGATGGGACCGAATGGAAAGATGAAGGAGCTTCCTGGGAGTAATCACTTAGAAAACTCACTTGAAGGACGATTTAACTTTAAATGCAAATATATTAAATTTTATTAATAGCAGATCCATAAACTGAAGAATTCTGTGAAAGAGGCAGTTCATATTAGTAGAGCTTCAACATACAAAATTACCTTGAAAGGATCGATAATCCTACCCATTCCTTGTAGAAATGGTGCAACTGGAGACAGGGAATTGGGTCTGTAAGATGGCGCTGCCGGAGAAATATCACACCCTTGACTTAAGAAGGAAAACTATACATGAGGAGAATTCAATCATTAAATCGAAGCGGGCGGGCAAAGGAGATGGAGCCATCAAAAGAGACCGAATGGAAAGATGAAGGTGCTTTCTGGGCTGCTATCACTTAGCAAACTTCTGTAAGCCGTCGCAAGTCGGTCACTGATATAGTCTTCATTTGAAGGACGATTTAACTTTAAATGCAAATATGTTAAATTGTTTTAATAGCAGATCCATTAACTGAAGAGTCCTGTAAAAGAGTGAGTTCATATTAGTAGAGCTTCAACATACAAAATGACCTTGAAAGGATCGTTTATTTTACCCATTCCAGTAAAAAAGATTGATTTTGCATTTCGAAGGTCGGCCGCCTCTTATGTATATCTTCGATTCGTCGCTTCTTATATTGCACCTACTTCTTAAGATTCCACTTGAGAGTCCCAAAAATCCTTTCTTAAAATTTCACCTCATTTCAATTTTTCCTATCTTTTCAGATGTTCGATTGTGTCTCGATTCTGTTTTCGGATGTTGTAACCTTTACGGAAATCTGCAGTCGCATTACACCCATGGAAGTGGTGTCCATGTTAAATGCCATGTATTCGATATTTGATACCCTGACCGAACGTAATACCGTCTATAAAGTTGAAACCATTGGTGATGCCTATATGGTGGTGGCCGGTGCACCGGAAAAAGATCCAAATCATGCTGAGAAGGTATGTGATATGGCCTTAGATATGGTTGATGCCATTAAAGACTTGAAAGATCCCTCGACGGGTCAACATTTGCGAATACGTGTGGGGGTGCATTCAGGCGCCGTCGTCGCTGGAATTGTGGGTTTAAAAATGCCGCGATATTGTCTCTTTGGAGATTCGGTAAATACCGCCTCACGCATGGAATCAACAAGTGCCGCCATGAAGGTACATATCTCCGAATCCACCAAGGAATTTCTGGGACCCAATTATCGGGTAACGGAGCGAGGTGAAATCGATGTCAAGGGTAAGGGTACCATGAAAACCTATTGGTTGGATGAGCGGGAAAATCGTAAACCATTGCAGTTGTCACCGGCCCAACTGCTGCCTGTATCGACATTTGTACCACCACCCACAACGCCGGCTGTTATTATGGCCAAGGCTCCCGCAAGGGCCATAATGCCGGCGCCCACAGTATTACCTAAGGAAAGAGAACGGACCATGGTAACCGGGCCCACAGTGGCCGCAACCAGCTCAACAACTTCCACTGTGGCAAAGGTGGCAAATAGTTCCGATGCAGAACAGAATCCTGGTGCTAGCACAGAGGAACGCAGCCGCATCTATTCCCCGGTGACATTTAAGGATGTGGCCCGACGCAGCATTGCCAATTCTCCGGTACGCAGCCTATATGGCAGTGCCTCGGCGGGTTTGGGCGAAAAGGGTCGAGAATCACGTTCGAATTCAACGGGTCATGTATTTATGCGTTCACCCAGCGATGTATTTGGTAGTTTGATTTTGGACACCGAAGAATTCCTTGAAGATCTACAAATGTCGCGAAGTTCCTTGGCTAACAATTCCCAATGTCCTTGTAGTCCCATACCACCATTCCGTATTGGTAGTGCTCCGCCCAAGCCTCGACCCACCAATCCAGATCAATTTACCCCCGAAGAGTTGGCAGCCATGGAACAGATGACACCACCCTCAACGGCACCGGCTCGTGAGACAGCCACCTATCACATGAAGTCATCGGCATCAACAACAAGTTTGAGTATGGAAAAGCCGACGGCGAAGGCAAGGTAAGTGGAGGGGTGGTAAAATCAAGGAAATATTGATTTTTTTTAGGTTTCTTATACTACATGAGTCCGATGATTTTGTTTTTGATTTTGTACATATGACAATGTAGGTTTGAAATATGAAACTGTGGCTTCTTGAGGATTGATCCTACTCAATCCCTTATTTATCAAAGGTATTGACGTTTTGTAAAGTTTTTTGGTTTTTCTTTGTAAATAATGCATGCTCGTTCAGAGACCTTTTTTGATACGATTTTTTTTATGAATTTTGTCTAAACGTTTAACCACAAATGTTCGTTTTATAACAGTTAATAACACTTCCAATCACTAACATCCTCGAGCTAACATTTCCATGCCTAAATTTTTAACTTTAAATGCAAATATATTAAATTTGTGGGAACTAAGTTAAACGTTTTGAGGAGAAAACTCCTCCTTCCTATTTTACAGCTTGTTTCCAGTTGACCTTTTGGTCGGGTTAGTGTCCTTCATGAAAATTTGTCCAATCCGATGTAAACGTACTATTAGCCCCCCATATAGGGTTCCTTCATTAATAAATCACAAAGAAGCTTTGTGATGTTTATACCCTACGCCACAAGGTGGTCAGGGTATTATGTCTGTGCATTTGTTTGTAACAGGCAAAAGGAATCGAGACAGACCCATAGTTCCTTTTGATGATCTGCATAGAATCACATTCTGAGTCGATTTATGCATGTCCGTCCGCACGTCCGTCTGTCCATGTATTTTTGTAAACAAAGTACAGTTCGCATTTATTACCCGATCCAAATGAAATTTTGCACAAATCATTTCTTTGGCCCAAGGACGAACCCTATTGAAACTGGAGATAATCGGTCAAAATTTAGATATAGCTCCCATATATATCTTCGTCCGATTTGCCTTTTGTTGTGCACCAAACGTGTAATATCAGTCCGAATAGTATGGAATTTTGCACGTACGATCAGATTGGACCTCAGAATAAGTATGCCAAATTTGATCGAAATCGGTTCAGATATAGCTATAGCTCCCATATATATTGTTCATCCGATTTGTAATTTTTGTCCTCCGCAGCCGTAATATGCACTCTGTAACAACAATATTTGGAGAAATATATCAAATGCAGTTTAGAAACACCTTTGCTAAATTTTATCGAGATCGGCTCAGATTTGGATATAGCTCCCATATATAACTTCGTCCGATTTACCTTGGATTGGGCACCAAACGTCTAATATTTGCCCAAATGGGATGAAATTTGGCACTTACGACCGAATTGAGTCTAGAAGTTAGTATGTCAAATTTGGTGGAGATCGGTTCAGATATAGCTATAGCTCCCATATATATATTGTCCACCCGATTTGTTATATTTGTTACCCACCGCCGTAATATGCACTCCGTAACAACGATATTCAGGGAAATATATCAAATACAGCTCAGAAATATCTTTGCCAAATTTTATCCAGATCGGCTCCGATTTGGATATAGCTTCCATAAAAAACTTTTAATTGTTATGCGCAGCTCTACTAAATTAGCAAAGTGGTGTAGGGTATCATAAAGTCGGCCTGCCCGACTTTCAGACTTTCTTTACTGGTTTTTTATCTCAGTTTAAAGCCTAGGCCAAAATCGTACCGGCGCGCAGTAGAATATCCAGTGTCCCACCATTTATTACTTCATTCAACGTCGTACAACTTGAGGTCTGAGCCCACAGCTCTTCCCTATGGCGTCACTTCCTGAATAGAGCACTTTGAGACGTTTTTTTTTTTTGCGATCTCCTCGATGTTCCCACCTCAGTTTAAACGCCGGTCCAAAGTCGTAACGGCGCTCAGTGGAAGATCCAGTATCACTCCATCCCTGTACTTCATCTGAAGGACAGTTTTAACTTTAAATGCAAATATGTTAAATATAAATTGTTTCGAGAGAATGGACTCAATTATTTTCCTATCAAAATTTCAAAAAAGAAAGGAAAGAAATGTAAAATGCAAATATTTTTGAAGATTCCATTCGATACTTGTTCCTCTACATTAGTTCTGATTGCTTGATCAGATTTTGGTTTGAAGTGAGTAGACTCGGCCAGATAATTTAATGGATGAAGATTCGCACATTCGACATAAATGATGAGCTCCGTCATCTACTGGTGCCCAATGCGAAAACACGATTTTAGGTCGTAATGAAAAATACGGGAAGAATTAGGCGGATACTTGTTCATTTACAATTTCTTATTAACGATGCCAAGATCTAGCATCGATCGTCCAGTATCACACCATCCAGGACTTCATCTAAAGGACAGTTTTAACTTTAAATGCAAATATGCTAAATATAATTTTTTTCAAGAGAATGGACTCAATTATTTTCCCATGAAAAAGTGAAAAGATAAAGGAAAGAAATGTAAAATTCTAATATTTTTGAAGATTCCATTCGATACTTGCTCCTCTATATGGGTTCTGATTGGTTGATCAGATTTTGGTTTGAAGTGAATGACTCGGCCACATAATTTAATGGATGCAACTCCCACACAATCGACAAAAATGCTGGGCTTCGTCAGCTATTGGCGCCCAATGCGAAAACACAATTTTCAACTTAGGTCGTAATGAAAAATACCGGAAGAATTAGGCGGATACTTGTTCATTTACAATTTCTTATTACCTCTAGACCTTGGCATCGATCGTCCAGTATCACTCCATCCTGTACTTCATCTGAAGGACAGTTTTAACTTTAAATGCAAATATGTTGGATATAATTTTTTTTCGAGAGAATAGGCTCAATTATTTTCCTATGAAAAAGTTAAAAGAAAAAAGGAAAGAAATGTTAAATGCTAATACTTTTAAAGATACTCTTCGATACTTGTTCCTCTATATCGGTTCTGATTGGCTGATCAGATTTTGGTTTGAAGTGAGTAGACTCGGCCAGATAATTTAATAAATGCAACTCCCACACAATCGACACAAATGCTGCGCTCCGTCATCTATTGGCGCCCAATACGAAAGCACGATTTTCAACGGAGGTCATAACGGAAAATACGGGACAAAATTGGGTGGATGTTTGTTCATTTATAATTTCTTATTAACTCTAGACCTTGGTGTCGGCAGCTGCTTCATTCGGAGTTCTATGGTAAATTGGGTGTTTATCTTAGAAAGAATAAGTAGTGGATTACGAAAATCAAAGATATGAATAAGGAAAAAACGAAATTTTGGAGATGTATTATAAGAAGGGGCATTTGTATAGGAAAAAAATGCCTTTGGCAAACTTTGTTGTGTGATAATTTTTTTATTTTTTTTTTTTTTTCATAATACAGGAATCTTTTGTGTGTAACTGTGCAGTAAGTGTCAGCTCCAATTCAATTTTATTCTTAGTAGGATCAAAGAGTCGAAGATGGGCGGTGAAAGTGTGACAATCAAAACTCCAAGTTCCCATGTCATGGTCGTATGTTGTGTTTGTCGTTTTAATTTCTGCCCATTTCCTTTTCGATTGTATGAACACTAGGGCTGATGGTGGAAACCCCCGACCACATCTGCCGAAACTGAGAAAGTCGGAACTCCACCAAAGCGCCACGTTAAGCGCAACCCACAGATAATTATAGGATATACTTCTGAGAATAATGTTTGAGTTCCAATCTCTCACCTACCCCCAATAGCCCATACCTCCTGTTTGAAAACATGGAAAATATACATAGTAGGTTTTCCATCATCTCAACCTCTCTTTCATCAGGACCACAATTATCTCATTTTGAGGTCAGATATCGGATACTGCAGAGGCCAGCCATTTTTAGATCAAACCTGTTAATTAATAGAAGGAATATATTTTCTTCCCAGATTATAATAGAAAAGTGCTTTTGAGATCTCCAGTTATCAGTAAGGACACAACTCTTCTCACGGTGATTAGATGGCCGTAAACCACATCGAGGAACTCGCGAAAAAACCTCTCATTGTGCTCTATTCATGAACGGACGCCAAAATGTTAGTTCGAGGATGTTTATGAAGGGACGATACATCCAACGTCATACAACTTGAGGTCTGACCACCCAGGGCGTCTCTTTATAAATAGAACAATTAGACATTTTTTGCGAACGAATAAAGACGTTTTTCGCAAGCTCCTCGATGTTCCAACTTCAGTTTAAACACTGGTCCAAAATCGTACCGGGACTCAGGAAAAGATTCATTATCACTCCATCCCTGTATTTCATCTGAAGGACAATTATAACTTTAAATGCAAATATGCTAAATATAAGTTGTTTCAAGAGAATGGACTCAATACTTTTCCTATGAAAACGTGAAAAAATAATGGAAAGTAATATTTTAAAAATACTTTTCGACATTTGTTTCTCAATTAAAAAAATTCTTACTAAACCTGTGATTAGAGAGTTAGCCAATGCAGCCTATAGAGTTCTCCTAATTTTAGCCGTAATTTTAGGACCATGCACTAATTTTGTAGGCCGGGTTGTTATCATTATTTTCCTTTTTTATGGGAGACATCGTCATTATCCTTACTTTAGATTAGGTTGGCTTGAGGGATGCGACTCCATAACGGAGACCTGCTAGTCCTCGTGTTCGTCCTAATTTTATGAGAAATAGAAGAAGGGAAGCAAAAGAGGACATGTAAAAACGCAGCTACATTCGGCCGGGTCGTACATTTAATACCCTCCACCATTTGGAAGGAACTTTTTGCCATAGGCTGTAGTACCGATTCTGAAATTCAAAAATGAAATTTGAGGTCTAGGCCTCACGCCGCAGAGTGTTGGATAGTGTCAGGCAGCTTCAAGACATTGCATGGGATATTTTCTGACATATCATAAAGGAATCCAAAAGTCGCACTCGAATCCTGCCGTCGTTTTTATACCTTCCACCCTAGAAAGGGCGATTTTTTTTACTTGTTTTTCTTAGAATTTAGACATTAATGTGTCTAGACGTGCTCTACCGCTGTGCTTAAGTGTTCTACCGTTTTAGTTTCCTCCTTATCTTGACAGATGTCGTCGGTGTCGTCATCATACCGCTCAAAAGTCATTACCCTTATGTCACATTGACCTGTGATTATGCCCACCACAAATTGTAGGTCTAATTGCAGTTTATCGAGCTTGATCTCACCCCAGAGAGTACCGTTCAAATTGTCTTAGAGACATTATATCCCCTATCATTCAGTTTTGTTTTTGCTCTCCCGGAGCAATGTTTATGTATGACTCGGAAGAAGTGGCACAAGGGCAGCTTCACCTAGTGTTCGATCTCCAAATCGGACCCCCGTCTTGTCAATTTATCTGCTGTACCTTTAGCAAAGATGTTGCAATGTCCTGGAACCCAACAAAGCTTAATGGGCGACTTAGCTTTTTCAATGCATTCCAACACTGCGAAACTGCCATGAATTTAATGATACATGCATTTAGTGCTCTCAGGACCGCTTGACTTTAGTTCACCTTTTCCGGAACCTATTCACTTTCCCGCTTGTGCTCCCACATTGGCTTGCTAACCTCCAATGTCAGGTACTGTTTGGCTGAAATCAAGTAGTGATGAACAGCCCAAGCGTTACGTGTGCTTATAGTCAGGCCCATGTGATTGTTTCCCATGGAATTTATTTTCTCGTCGGGTATTTGATCAGCAGGTATATAGTAAAGGGCTACAACGGCGAAGACGTCATGGAAAATATTTTCTTCCACCCGAAATACGGATATGATGGACAATTCTCTGGGCCAACGTTTGGGGAACTATTTTTTTAAAAAAGATTTTAGGCTAATTTTAAGCTTGTCTTTTGGTACCCCTGACAAAGAGTTAGGTGGTGACTCCGGTGCCTCCTTGCCACATCACTTTTGGAGTGCTCGAAAAACTGATTTAACTTTAAATGCAAATATGTTAAAATATAATTTCCGTTTAATTTTCGCAAACTGGGGACCCACAAGAAACCTGCAAGGGGAGACGATAGCTTTTCAATATCACATTTGTTCATAGAAAACTTTATGCTCTTACCTGCCATTTTGTTACTAAAATCCTGTGAATACTTAATCCCTTTTTCTTCTTCTTGTTCCTAAATTGTTGGTGACCTGAAAAAAGAATCGAATTAAACTTATTTACCCTGGTTCATTACTTTTTTCAATTCCATTAATTTTTCTGAAAAATCATTTCTAACACGCTTCTCTCTTCCTTTAGGTTAACCAATCAAGCAGCTGCAGCCATGCCACCGCGTGTCAAAGAAGTAAAGCCTGCCAATAAAGCCCCCGTGTGTAATACCGCCCCCACGGCAGCGTCGGGCGCCACACCCAAAAATACCGCCTTCACAAATAGTCGCACCACCTCGAAAGAGTCAATTTCAATGAGTTCACCACCACCAATGCGCTCCATGTCCGCACCGCTGCCAATGTCAAAGGCGGCACGCAAGGCATTCCTGGCAGCCAAACAGACCAAGGCCATTGAGAAATTGGACAAAATGATTGAAGAGGTACAGGAAAATGATGCCCAGCTAAAGGCATCGCAGAGTGCAAGGCTAAATGAAGTCTTTGGAGATCGCATTGCACCGCAGGGCGGTAATGCTTCTGTCATGGATATGGGTGGGGGTTGTCCATTGTTTTTGCCACCCCCACCCAGGCATATGGGCAATTCAATTTCCGACTCCAACATTTGTAGTCATGGGTATGTGTTGTGTAATATTTTGCTGCATTCTCCTCTTCTAATTTCATGTTCTCCACCTTTTCCCCTCTTTGTAGTCACAGTCATGGCCATGCCCCCACCATACATCATGCACCGTGTCATCATGTCCACGAGCCTTCCTCCAGCAAATTGTCAACCAGTCATAGTTTTAGTCATGCTCGCCACTCGGCCGCCATCCATCCCTGCTGTACGGGAGCAGCGTATGCTGGTCATTCCGGAAATGGTCGTCATTCACATCGCATGCACTCGAATGCCTGTCACATACTGTAGATCAATAAAATGCAGTGGCATGACCACCCACCCAGCTCTTTTTGGAGAAACTTCACTTTAGACACACACACACCCTCACATCACACCCCTACACTTTCTCGCCCCCCCCCCCCCCCCCTCGACGACACAAAAGAAAAGCAATGGTTTTCACTAGACATAGAAAAAAGTGGCTTTAGGTAAAAATTGAAAAAAAAAAAGGAAACAAACACTCACTCTTCGAAAGAAACAACAAAGAATCAAAACAAGGATATTTTTTAAGGATATTATATTGCGAACGCTTTAAGTATTTTAGGAACTTTTTCTGTCTGTATGTATGTATGTATAATTATTATGTAAAATTTTGTAGGAATAAGTATGATGTCAAATTATAGAGAAGCAAGTTACTGTAACTGAAATTGTGGGGAGGACAAGATGTGTGTATATGTGAAATAACCCAGCAAAGAAATTGATGAAAGTTAGGATTTATTTGTAAGAATTTTGAGGTATAGGAAAAGTTGTTGAGATCTTACCCCAGCATTCAGAGATGGTCGATGGTCAGGTGGTGACTCCGGTGTCTCCTTGCCTCATCACTCTTGGAGTGCTCGGAAAACTGATTTAACTTTAAATGCAAATATGTTAAAATATAATTTCCGTTTAATTTTCGCAAACTGGTGACCCACAAGAAACCTGAAAGGGGAGACGATAGATTTTCAATATCACATTTGTTCATAGAAAACTTTACGCTCTTACCTGCCATTTTGTTACTAAAATCCTGCGAATAAATTCTTAATTCCTTTTTCTTCCCGATAATGAAGCTGGGGTACTTAAGCTCACGAAAATAAAACAAGGATTTTTATACCCTCCACGATAGTACGGAGGGTATATTAAATTTGTCATTCCGTTTGCGATACCCCGAAATATAAATTTTAGACCCCACAAGGTATTTGTATTTTTGATGAGCATAAAATTCTATGTCGATTTAGCTATGTCCGTCCGTCTATGGAACTCACTATAGCTTCCGAACAAAATGAAGTAGCTTGAAAAAATTTTAATTAAATTTATAATTTTACTTAAATGCATTTTTGCAGAACTTTTGCTATTAAATATGGGCCATGTAGGTCCACGTTTTGGTATAGCCCCCCCATATAATGGTACCTTCCGATATTCAATATTTTAATGATTTTAGCGACATTATTCACCGGATTTTTTTTTTTCAAATTTGGTATTTGAAGTTCGTAATGGATACTACAGCCTATGAGAGAAAATTGTCTGTGCAGGTGCACGTCTTCGTATAGCTCCCATATAACGGTACCTCCCTATTTTCGGTATTTTGATGATTTTAGCGATAATTTTTACCGCAACTATTTCAAATTTAGTATTTGAAGTTCGCAGTGAATACTACAGCCTATGACAGAAAATTGTCTGTGCTGGTGCACGTCTTCGTATAGCCCCCCATATAATGGTACCTCCCTATATTCGGTATTTTGAAGATTTTAGCGACATTATTTACCGGAACTATTTCAAATTTGGTATTTAAAGTTCGTAATGGATACTACAGCCTAAGACAGAAAATGGTTCATGTAGGTCCACGTCTTCGTATAGCCCCCATATAAAAGTACATTCCGATATTCGATATTTTGATGATTTTAGAGACATTATTAATCGGAATTGTTTCAAATTTGGTATTTGAATTTCGTAATGGATACTACAGCCTATGGCAGAAAATTGTCTGTGCAGGTGCACGTCTTCGTATAGCCCCCTACATAACGGTACCTTCCGATATTCGGTATTTTCATGATTTTAGCGACATTATTTACCGGAATTGTTTCAATTTTGGTATTTGAAGTTCGTAATGGATACTACAGCCTAAGATAGAAAATTGTCTGTGCAGGTGCACGTCTTCGTATAGCCCACATATAATGGTACCTCTAGATATTCGGTATTTTCATGATTTTAGCGACATTATTCACCGATTTTTTCAACTCTGAACTGATGCAAAGGTACCTGGACCTGGTACTGTAAAGGTGGAATAGGATTCGGTTTCTTCCTGCAGCTCAATTTGCAAAAAGTCGTACTTCATGTCGACACTGCTGAAATAGTGGGTCTGGTCTATGCGGCTCAGTATCCCATAGTTATTTTTATGGCATCTTTGATGGTTAAGGCATTCAATTTTCTCGGACATTTCAAAGGCCAAACGGCATAACCTTGAACTGATACAGAGGTCGACCTGGTACTGTAAAGGTGGTATATGATTCAATTTCTTCCTGCAGCTCAATTTACAAAAAGGCGTACTTCAGGTCGACACTGATTGAAGTAGTGGCTCTGGTCCATGCGGTTCTACATCCCATAATTAATTTGTAAGATATACTTATCGTAGATGGATAAGGCTTTTAATTTTCTTAAAAAAAATCGGGTGTGTTTTTTTTTTTTTTTTCTGAGATATTATATTTTTCGGGACATCCCAAAAAACCTCCGAAACATATTTCATATATACACACATTTATTCCTGCATCCCCCTGAAGAAGAAAAGAAACCTTCAAATACAAAACTTAACATGAAATTAAGCTAAACTTATTTAAGTATACCTCTCAAAAGGACAATATATAAAAAAAATATTTACAAACAAAATATATTTGAAACGAACTTAAACCTATAACCTATAAAAATCTAAAAAACAATACCCGAATAGAAAAAAATATTTATGTACACCTTGTAAACGTAGAATTACTTCTGCTCGAAAAAAAAAAACACTCAAAATAATGTAAAGTAGTTAGAGTTAGGTCCCTCTTTAACATATCCCCCCCCCCTCGCCCACAAAGCATGGTCTCATGGTCTGTCTAAAATAACCTCAGATATGTGACTTCATTAGTTAGAGCATTCCATATACATCTGAAATTCATTGGCATAGCTAGGCTAAACCGATTCAAAGCTAGATATCTAGTAATAGCTATTTGGTTAGAGAAATTATATTGGAGGACTTTTTGAAAAAATGATCTTCTCTGGAAAGGATTTTTGCCCCTAAAGCCTATAGGGTATTTATTAGAATAATTATATATTGAGTTACGAGTTGAAATCGAAAATCTGGTCTTAAAATATTCAAATGCTTAACCACATACTCACAATACTAGTCAGGTTAGTTTAAGTTTTTTATCCAGTTTTAAGGTGAGAGTACATAAAACGCTTTTTCGACTGGCTTAAGTCTTCGGCCATGGTAGAACTAAGAAAGTAAAGTCATGTAATCATATGTTTACAATTTTTATACCCTCCACCATAGTATGCAGGTTATATTACGTTTGTCATTCCGTTTGAAACCCCTCTAATGTCCGTTCGTCTGTGGAAATCACTCTAGCTTCCGAACGAATTGAAGTAGATTAATAAAAATTTACTCAAAGGTTTATTATGTCTGCAGGACTTGTGGTATTGAAAATGGGCCATGTAGGTCCACGTCTTCGTATAGCCCCCATACAACGTAACCTCCGATATGCGGTATTTTAAAGATTTTAGCGACATTATTTACCGGAATTGTTTCAAATTTGGTATTTGAAGTTCGTAGTGGATACTACAGCCTAAGACAGAAAATTGTCTGTGCAGGTCCACGTCTTCGTACAGTCCCCATATAATGGTACCTCCCGATATTCGGTATTTTGATGATTTTAGAGACATTATTTACCGGAATTGTTTCAAATTCCGCATTTGAAATTCATAATGGATACTACAGCCTAAGACAGAAAATGAGCCACGTAGGTCTACGTCTTCGTATAGCCCCCATATAACGGGACTCCCCGATATTCGGTATTTTGATGATTTTAGAGACATTATTTACCGGAATTGTTTCAAATTTGGTATTTGAAGTTCTTAATGGATACTACAGCCTAAGACAGAAAATGAGCCAAGTAGGTCCATGTCTTTGTATAGCCCCCATATAATGGTATCTCCCGATATCCGATATTTTGATGATTTTAGCGACATTATTTACCGGAATCGTTTCAAATTTGATATTTGAAGTTCGTAATAGGTACTACAGCCGATGACAGAAAATTGTCTGTGCAGGTCCAAGTCTTCGTATAGTCCCCCATATAACGGTACCCCCCGATATTCGGTATTTCGATGACTTATGCCACTCAAAAAAAAAGCGTTTTATATATTCTCACCTTAAGAGTTTGCTACTGGCATTACCCATTTGGAGTTCCTATTCCAGATTCCAAACTACAATTTACCACACATGCACCTGCACATATCTAAGGTGATGATATCAATGAAATGTGTTTAACGAACAAATCTCGCTTTAAAACTTTGTTATCAAATCAATAATCACAACTATACACACATACATAGATATGTATTTATATATTTATTTTATATATTGTTAATAAGTTAACTATATTAAGTTTTTAATTTATTGCAAATAAAACCCAATATTATTGTTGATGTGTAAATGTTTTAAATCAATAGTCAAAGCAGAAAAAAGCGTTATTTTTAAGAATCAAAACGAAAAAAAAGAAAAACAAATAAAAATAAAAGTGGCTTGCCAATTGTTTAATGGAAATAAAGAGAAATTATAAACAATTATTAATGAAACATACACATTCAACTGACTTTTATTTATGAAGTGTGAAGGGTGTTGGATGAAATCAGGGGATAAAGCCTTTTTCGGGATTTTCTAATCCACAGTGCTAGATCAAGTGGGAAAATTGACAATGTCGGTCCACTCCATCACGTACCTCCCATACAAAGGGTCAATATTTGGAATAATAATAACTCTTATGAAATGTAATGTAAGTATCCGATTGTCTTCAAATTACACACATCTCAATATTTTTTTAACCCAAAGTCTGGTGTGAAGATGGAATACATTGGTCCACTCCTTCTGCTACCTTCACCACAAAGGATAAACATCTGTGAATATCCCTGAAGCTTATAAAACCCGAAATTAATATCCGATTCCATTTAGACTTGGCACATCTCAATATTTCCATTAACACAAGATCTGTTATAAAGATTGTAGAGATCGGACCATTCTTTCTGGTACCTCCCCCACAAAAGGTCAAATTTTTAAATAACCAAAACGATTATA